TTCCCCAGGATAGCTGGGGTTCATTGCGGTTACATCCGGTAAAGCGAATGATTAGAGGACTTGGGTCGAAACGACCTCAACCTATTCTCAAACTTTCAATGGGTATGGTACGCGGTAGGAGACTCTTCGACCGATGTTGGGGTCGGAATGCAATGCATATTGTGAACAGGAGCGAGATATGGTGGTTCAGTGCTTATTAGATTACGGTATGCAAGGATGTGCGAATGTGACCTGCGGTGGTCAAGGTCAGATCGAGAGTGAAGTGAGACCTCCCAGGTGGGCATATGGCAGACATGACCCGCCCACTAGACTGTGATGTCATTTGGCATGGTTAGCAAAAATCATCGATCGGTCGATGTTACTCCGGCCATACCAGGGGAATGTACAAACGATGTTGATAGAATAGCATGATATGTGCAAATAAATATGATCATCTACTGGTCCGAATTAATGATCGTCGTTGATGCGAAGGTGAAGTCGATGGGAATTGTTCGGCTAGTGGACCATTGCGGCGTGGAGTGGAGAACCATTGCTGCTGGCGAGAATGGGCTGGGTTTAGATGGCGGTGATGTAGACGTGCGGGGTGGCTGGTTGTTGACGGCGTGGATCTTCAATGTCGGTGGGGTCGTTTCGCGGCTGGTCCTCTATTTTGCTGTGGTCCTCGGTTCTTGCGAGCAAAGCAAGTAGTTGTGACCAAGACCACAACTACTGCTTTACTGCGCAGGCGTCATCGTGAGTTGGCTTCAAGCATTGAAGGCAGAGTCCTAGTTTGGTCGCTTGTGATGTCTTTGCTACCGGATCGGGATGGCGCACACATCTTCCGGTGAAATGGTTATCCGCGACCGAGCAAAAAATGCAGCTCGATTTAGGCGTGGTCCTGTCCATGAGTGTTGCTTGTTGGTCGAGTATTGTTTGTATCTTCTGCTCGAAGGTCCGCATTTGTTGCTGGAGGGCCAGTCGGTCTTGCTTGGCGGCTTTCGGAAGTAGGTGGTGGAGCAGCGTTGAAACGTCGCATCTATTCAACTCATCGATAGCAGCTTGCATATCTGGCGAGAGACATGTTGGTAATGTGCTGTAGTCTTATCTGCTTTTATA